TACAACAAACATTATACTGGGGGACAGACGGACATGTTTAAATCAATTCAGAATTTGATGCTGATCAAAAGCGTAAATGTACTTTGTGAGGTCTCTGAAGTTTTTATCTGGACGTTGCAAAAGTTTCGACATAAACCTCCTCATCTCTAGTTGATGAGTATAAGGAAAACTCTTAACATTTTCCCCGTGATATGGAGAAGAGTTTACAACTCTGAGTTGCAGCAATAAACCTTTGAATGGACCGAGCCTACTTATTTAGTTTCGAAGCAGCTAAAATAATAAAAATTGCACAATTAATTTATGACATTATTTGTTACAAACAACAAGAGGTGTATGGGGATGAATTAAAGTTGCTTTTCCATTTCGTGGCTTTTAAAAAATACGCATCAAAGATTCTATAAAGGATACAAGTATTCTCTATCACCACAAGATTTGGGGCAAATCTAGCTATAGGTAGTCCACCGTCCGACTGTTTGCTCTTGGAAGCTTAACGATCATAAAAATTGAAAGATGAAGCTAAAGACATACAAGTTTATGGCTGTGCAAATGAACTTAGTCCGTCATAACCGCTCTTAATAGGTAAAAACGATATAATATTAAATCCATAATAGTTAGTAGATGAAAATCTAAAGGCAATAGGTACTAAAGCAGATCAAAAGCAAATTTCCTTTACTTAAGGTTTTTTAAGAAGTACGAAGTTAAATTCAGGTCCATCAAAAAGGTAAATACAGAAAAACTGGTCATTGAGAGGCTTCTTAATAGAAAATGATTTTTAATGGAAAGACTTAAAGTGTCCTTAAAAGAAGTCGGGCAATAAATTTGCTGCGGAGTTTATCACATGCTATCAAATGCTCACCTTTGAAGATGTTCGAATGCCGCAAATGAAAATGTTAAAGTAGTAGTAGCACTTGTAGTAGCAGTAGTAGTAGTAGTAATAGTAGTAATAGTAGTTGTTGTAGAGGAACATTTGAAACGTGTTAAGAAAATCCAATTCAGATACGATAAAAAAGAATTTGGGAGGCCGCTCGAATGAATAGATTAGACTTATACTTAAGGTTCATTTTATCAATGTATAATTTTATCATCGTTCCTTTGCAAATATTCTGAGTGAATTGAAATAAATAAATAATGCGATGTTTTTTTATACTGATAAACCAATTTGCAAATTATGATAAAAAAAAAAATTATTAATAAATAAAATTGGATTTATTGTTATTTTAGCCATAAGTTCTTTTCATTTATTTTTCATTCTATTTTATTTAATTCATTTTAATATTTTAATTTATTATTAATAAAAGTAAGGTTGAATTCATTCAAAGTTAACATTAGATATAATTATAGTAAAACATCCTTAGGAGCAGCAGACCATCTTTATTATGATGATATGATGATAGTATTATAATATTATATTTTAAAGTGGATGAAATTATTACTTTAGCATTTTGGTTTATTGATAAGTTTACAATTATTTTTTATATTTTTCTTTTTAAAAAATAATATCATTTCATCAGAGACTGGATAAATGACCTTTGACTCGAAACACTATTATTTATTATGGGGAGAAAGAATATCTTAATAATTGTAATGTTTCATTTTTTTATTATTTGCATAAAAGTAATATTTGGAAAATCAAAAAAAAAAAAAAAAAGAATAAAAAATTAAGAATATTAAAAAAATAAATAAAACTTAATCTATTTTTAAGAATGGAGAAAATGTGTGAACTGAATGTTTCACCTATCATTTTTTAAAGTGTAAATATGTCTAATGGGAGGTTGTCGTTACTCACGTTCATGTGTTTGTTACAGCGGATGGGTTGAGAAGGGCTATACATATATATATATATATCTATATACATACCCTCTTCTTAAAAATAGCACTAGCGAGAGCACAAATATAAAGAAAGTAAAATTTATTAGGAGCATTGTAATGGAAGACTTTCCATTGCGAAGCTGGATCCGATCTAACTGTATACATAAAAAAAGGTCTATGTAAAATTTTGCTTTATTCCTTTAAAATCCCTAAATCGATATTCCAAAAGCAAAGCAACCTAAGGCTTTTCAAAGGCCAAAGTATACTCAAGATTCCTTTTGAGTCAAATATATAATTTTCTTATTTGTTATTTAATAAAATGTTGACTAGACTTCCTTTTTTTTTTTTTTTTTTTTTAATTTAATAATTTTACTTTATTCGTTAATACATAATTGTTTGCTTTATTTTTCAACTTCTTTTTATACTCACCACCGAACGACATTTTTCTTGTCCATATATTTCTGCCGCCCGTCTGTCTGTTGTCTATTGTTGAAACACCCACGGAAGCAAAATTGAGAAAAAAAAATATTGAAAAAATGATAATGAGATCACTACAATGTTGACAAGTGGGCGTGAGCGCATTTTCAATGATATGAAATTTAAATTTTCAATCTGCAGAATATATTAGTCAAACATTTTTATGAAATCTATACCAAGACCAGTTAAAATTTGAATGAGTAAATTGACATATTTCGCTTAAAAAAAAAAACAAAAAAAAAAAAAAAAAAAAAAAAAAAGTACTAACTTCCCTCTTACAAAGAACATTGAATTAAAACTTAGTATAATTATTTTCTATTACCCACGCATCAGAGCAAAGGAAAAAAATACTGATCGATAATTTACGAAATAATTTACAATTGTTTGCATGGGTTTTTAGGCGGTAAGTATCAAAAAATTTCCTCTAAGGTATACTCGGTGTAACTTTATTTCTTCTTAATACTTCCTTGTCTTGACTTATATTTTAACATTTTATGGGGGTGAGTTCTTCTAAACAATTCGGGCAACTGAATAGATGCATTAAACATCGTTATAATATAGAAAGGCAACTTTAAATATACAAATAGTTTTCTTAAATAGAGGAAGGCGATGGCGCATTGAGTTTACATCAGTTTTCAAAGACAGAAAGAAATGGATTAATTATTTTACATTTACAATTTTTTGGTTGATGATTTATTTATTTCAGCAAGTTTTTAACAATTTTACTAGATCAACCTTGACACATTTCTCAGATGATTACTTCCGCCATTTTTTTTTCTCTTCCCGGGATGGTTGGCTTTACTATAGACTTACTACATAGGTAACGAGACGCAAAGCAAACAGCTTTTAAGGATTAATAAAAGAATAAAAGAAAATCATTGAAAAACCAACTGTTAACTATAACACACTATATATAGCGCCTGACCGGTATGAGAAAATGGGGCTTTTGAATACCACTACAAGGGAACAATATAATATTTATTTGTTATACCGCTTGTATTGTCTTTGTTTTCACAAATATTTATAACGCATAGCTGTACATGTAACGGAGACCCGGTAAAGTACATCTATACTGTTAACGAGCATGTGAACACCACATTTAATCATATCTGTCTCTATAGTTATTTGTTGATGTTGTCGCGATTATAATTTGTAAACTTTATCCAGAAAAAATTATATAGTTAGCAAAATCGGTCTCGAACTACAGCAAAAACAATAATTTTTTTCTTTTCCCTAAATTATGGCCCCGAAATTGTACGGCTTTTAAATTAGACATAAATTGAGCTTTACACATATATCTAAAACAAACATACAAATTTTCTCATATCAAATCAAGATACAATTTGTAAGGAATGATATTTCAGTTATTATCTGGGGACTAAATACTAAACACAAGCTAAGGGCGAATAGCAAACATGTTTGACTCAAAATGAATTTGATTTTTATTTTTGTTTTTTACAAAAATAGTGTTAGTTAGATATAAAATTTTGTGTGTAAAAATTTTTTCGCGCTGTAATCTTCTATTTAAGACGTGTATTAAAATCAATTTAAATATTTCGTTCAATTTGCCCAAATAGTTGCCTCCGTTGTTTAGTAAATTGCCAAAAAAAAAGTTAAATAAATAAATTAATAATGAGGCTACTCCCAAATAGTTAACAATCACACGAAGATCTTATCTGGTTTTTCCCCAGTTTAGTTTTAATAACATTAGAATTACAGGTAGTTCATCTTTTCTTTCTTAGATCAGAGTATAAAGTGCACTTATTCAGTTGCACGACGGTGCAATTTCCTATATGTTTTGTATTTATGATTAGTATGGCATATTTATATTTATATTTTTATAATTTATATTTCGTTTTGCTTTTATTTCAATAAAATTAGTTATAAATGGAAAACATGCTGGTGAGTTTAGCTTAATATCTAAGAGCTGTGCTGGGCTAAAGATTAACAATTATAATTTTTTTTTTTTTCTTCTTTTTTCTTTTGTGGGTTCTTTTAGTGAAAGCGTTACGAGTTATTAAAGAGATTACATGTTATATCATATGTTTTTGATTTTTAATGTCACTTAAACTAAGATATATGGCTGAAAATTATAAATTTGTAAAAAAAATATATGTATATGTATATGTAATAATGATAATAATAAACAAAAAAACAAAGTATATATAAAAATAAAAGTCTCTTTTTTTATACATAAAAATATAAACAACCATCGAAGGTTATGGAAAAAAATTTCCTATCATATATATAATTAATTAATAGATCATTTGATCGCTCCACAATATTTCATGGATTTGTTGTTTTTGTTTTCTTGGGCTTTTACCACCTTCGATGATCGCGTATTTCATTTGTTCGATGAGATCTAAATATATAAAACTGAGTTGCTTAATTAATTAAGTTCTATGTAAAATAATTAAAGCTTGTGAATTTGAATAAATGTTTTTTTAGGACACAATTTCAATAACAATATCTACAACATATAAGTCGCACATCATTTTGTTTCTCTCATTATACAGCAATTTTTTACAAAATTTATTTAGGTTTATTTTTCATTGCACTTATTTGTCGGTAGTTATTTAAAATACCAGAAATTTTTAATTATTTTTTTGCAAATTTTTCTAAACAAAAATCAGTCACACAATTATTTTAATTTTTGTCAATTTTTCTCTATATTCTAAAAAATTGTTAAAAAGTTTTTTTTTTTTTATTTAAAAAAAAAAAAAAAAAAAAAACCAAAAAACAAAAAGTTGATGTATATCTTATTTATTACTGCTCCTCCGTACACTCAGATCTTTATTTTTTTATAATTTTAAATAGTTCACTTACTTGCGTTGTTGCTGTGAATTTGTTAATTGTGTTTGTTCCGCATTATGCTGTTGCTGATTATGATGCTGATGGTGTGGATGATGATGATGATGCTCTTCGTCATCGCTTGGCTCCTCTTTTAACGGTAAACTGTCAATTTGCTTAGCTGTTGTTACCTTTTTGTTACGTTGCCAAGTGAAGACTCGCGCCATTTGTAAAAATTTTTTACGTGATACTTTGCCCATATGTTTCAAACGCTCCTTAAATGCGGCGTCATCTTCGGTTTTGCCTTTGCCGCATTGTTCTTTGTCCAAAGCATTCATAAACTCTTGATTCCAACGCAATTGATTCATGAATTCTTCATTTTGGAGCATCATAGCGAATTGCTCGTCAGGTAAATCGAATTCTCTTGCAGCATCATAGGGCAATGCGATGGTATTTGGTGCCGTATTTACTGGCGTAATACGCAGAAAATTTGCAGGCAGAGGTAACAACATGGGCGGATTCCAACGCTTGCTAGTTGTATTTATTGCTATATGATTGCGGACAGTTTTCTTGGGTGTGCTGCCTTGCGAAGACTTATTTTGAGTTTGAGGTGGTCGTATTTTAGGTGAAGCTCCTGTACTATGATTGGGCGAACCGGAACCCGTTATACTACAATTGAGATTTAATAACACTGCATTTGCCGCTGCAGCAGCTGGTATTGGTTTTTCCGTACGTGCGTCTATTTCATCGGAAACATCTACAAGTTGACCTGTAGCCGGTTGTTTGGCATTGACTTCACCCTCAGGATCGCTTAAATTAATTAGACTTCTTTGTGGTGATATATTGGCATCCAATTCATTCCGTAACTTTTCGTTCTAATATTTATATTTAATTGCAATTTGATTAAGCAAAATCAAAATTTCATACAACTCTATTATTTCTTACACTCACCTGATTATCTGTAGACATTTGCAGCAATTGATCAATAGTGGCATCAACTGCCCCTTGGTTTGCTCTAAGCACAGCTTCTATAACATCGCGATCCATATCCGGAAACATAGTTTTAAAATCAGACATGGCCTGAGAAAATTCCAGTTGCATTGTAGACGCCATGTTATCTATTTTATTTATTAAATTTTATTAGCGGTTACTAAATTGTTTTGTGTGGACAAAAAATTCTCCCGAATTTATTTTTCCCTTAAATCGAACTGTGATAAACCATTTATTTAATCTGCAGAAATGAAAGAAGGGTGATAGTTCTATTTGCATTTGCCTTGTTTAACAATTTGCGTAATAATTTTTATTATTTACATTTTCTCTCCGATTTCCTTTTCTTTTTAAATTATACTCATTTCTCTTCTTTTTTTTTACTTATTTAGAAATTATTAATTTTTTCCTTTATCTTTCTTTTCGACCTTTCACTGAAAGTGTTGCCAATAACAAAATTTAAAACAAACATCGGATCTAGATTTCCGTAGAGAAAAAAGAATTTCGTAAAAACTACATAAATGTAAAAATTTTAATAATGCACAGCAGCGCAGTAGTATAAAAACTATAGCATTTGTCATATTCGTAGGTGAAAACGCTTTGCAATTACTTCTTGATGGAATACTTAGATAAAACATTTAATCTTAAGCATGCATAGACGTTGTGAATGCTTTGACTCAATATACTAAATAAACGAAACACATTGCATGCATTGCATTACAGCAGTAAAATGATATGGTTTGCTCAATACGCGACAAATTTCTTTAAAAACAGGAGGATAATCATTTAGTTGGAAGTTGGCTTTCGCTTCGATATTCAGCCGTCTTTAGCAGATAGGCGAAGGAAATATGATTTTAATTATTTTGCATTTTATTTACCAGTAGTTGATACTATTAGATGTTCGAAAAAATTTTGATCTGTGACTTCTACAGATAAGAATGATAAATAAATGGGAAATACCAGTGTACATAGCCGTTGAATTCGATGGTTTTTGAGCTTCCTCTACATATTATTATTATTATTATTAATTTCGCCAGAGAAATAAATTCTAAGACTAAACTCTTAAAAGCACTAGCATCTAAGGCTATCGGCTTACCTCTACATAAAATAAGAGTTTTCCTTTCAATATTATTCATGTATTCAGCATACGCCGCCGTTCATCATGGACCACTCACAAATCAATTTTTCATTGATTTACATTGAAGATATCTGCTGCCGAAACCCATCAAACACGTTGAGACGCTTATGGTGATGCTGCTCCATCATATCCCAGTTGTCGGTTTTGGATTCAACGGTTTAATTAGTTGTAGTTTTGATGTCAATGAAAAACAACGACTCGGAGGACCAAAAAAAATCCAAAAATCATGAATTGCAAGACTTATTGACCGAAAACCCAGCAGAAATCATGGAAGAACTTTCCAATAGCTTACCAGTTGACGAATCAATTGCTTTTAGATATTTACGTGCGATGGAAGAGGTTCAAAGGGAGGGCAAACCCCACTACCTCGCAAATTGACTGAATATGCCATTTTGGGCACTTGTTGCACGAGTTGTATAGGATACACTGTTGCAGCTCGAATGGGAAGTTTTGCATGCTCATCAAATATGGCGCCGCCTTATTACCACTTGTCTAGATCGATGCAACATGGCCGGCATGCGGGTCCACATTAAAGTTGAAGAAGTGCAAAAATGGGTCAATAGGTGGGATCGCTGCCAAAGCATTGTAAGTTTTTTCGGCATGAAATTGTGTTTTGCCAAAAGTATAAATGGCTTTTTAAGTTGAAAAAGTGACCAAACTTTATGCAAACACCTGATATTATAATATGTATAATTAGTTGTATCGATAATTACCAATATCTTAAAATTATATAGTGCTTGAAGTATTAACTACATTATCTGGTCTTGTTTTCCTTATCAAAGCCTGTGCATGTAGCAAATGTAAATGTTCCCCATCTACTACGTGCATTGTTGCAGTAATGCAATGCAAACTATACATAGCAAGTTGATTCATTCTGCGAACGCCTTAGGAAATTCACAAGTGACTTTGACTTAATTTGAGTATTTGGTCGTGATGCGCTCAAAATTGCTACAAAACTATAAAAAAAGAAAAAAATTCAAAAAAAAAAAAAAATTTTATATATAAATAATATTGTTACGAATTTCGCTTTTCTGTTATATAGAACTCGTACCGCTAGATCGTGGATATTCTTTTCAAGGGAAATACATTTTAAAATTCTTTTATTTATAATTATATTCCATAACAGTAGGATTATTCATTCACATTTTATTATGTTGGCAGTACTCTCAACTCAAATGTTCTTTACAAGCGTATTTATGGCATCATTTTTAATCCGTTAACCTGTTTTTCCGGTAATCGTTTTCCTCGGCCGGCAGCTGCATGACGCGCCTGCGAATGGGCGTTTGATTTTTCCCCGTCTGCTTTTCCTCAAGTCTTTTTCATCGGGCGGCAGCTGCATTACGTGCCGCGAATGTATATTTGGTTTTTCTCTCTCTCTAGGGAATTAGGATTTCCGTAACAATATATTTGCTGTAACGAGAGAACTTGCCAAGGCGTGCTGTTAGAAAGAAAAGTCGCGAAATATTTTATTTAAGATAGAGTTCATCGTTATAGTCATATAATTTGATACAACTGATCTTTTGTGGTTATCTATAAAAGGATCTAAAATTAGTTAGCGTTATAATGATGAAAGCACTACTTATCGATTAAAATAAGTGGTAATGAATTCAATAGCCACTAGTTCGTTCCAATTCGGGGCCGCAAATATTTCCTGGATGAGTCTTGCAATGACTTGTCGAGAGTTTTGATGCTGAAAAATTCATTTATATTGATTTTCAGATATTTATAATCGTATTAGTGATCGTATTAGGGATTGAAATCATTTTTGAATCCAATATGAAAGATTGCCCTGACGAATACATGGGTATCCGTTGTTTATGTGATCGATAGTTGTACACGCAAATATGAAAAGATTTTCACATGGGGTTATCTCAATTGGTCTCCTATATTATGGGCCTGAATGAATATAAACAAAAAGCCTACAGCCATTTTTTCATCTTAAGTTGTTAATCGATCAAGAAACGACTTTGCATTTGTTTTTTGCGACCATCACGATGTCACAAAAATTATTATGGAAATTAACTATATTTTGATGGATATAGACATATGTCAACAGCATCTCGAAAACTAGAACAGGTACAAAAACAACTGACTAAATATGTTTAAAGCACTTTTTAATATAAATAAAATAAAAGTTCGAAAAAATGTTGGAACACCATCATGCAATATCTTATACACATTTTATTGAAAAGATCCCCAGATTGTCCCACGTGTTAATGCTAGTTTGCAAGTTCTACAATTTCTTTTGGGGGATTAACGGATTAGATTTCAATTTAGTATTTTTCGTGTTCTTCGCATTTAACCTTTTCCTAATGCTGCGTTCAACATCAGTGATACTATTTGGATCGGAAAAGAAAGAAATTAATTCAAAATCTCAATAATTCCCTTAATAGTTTTTGTCAATATTTATGGGCTCTTTAAAGTCATGTGCTAGAAATTTGTAGAAATGAGCGGTTTTTGTGCGTTATCAGAGAGAGAATCGTGCAATTAACTTATATTTATAAATAAATAAATACATTCACGAGCATACACAATATTTATTGTCGATGACGTATGCATGTATGCGTTTGTTCTTTTTTCACACTAGCAAAGCAAGTCAAGTGAAATGAAAGAAGCATTATTTTGTTTTTTTTTTTTTTTTTTTTTAAATTGCATATTTTGAAGCATAAAGCTTTCTAGTCACGTGCTCATTCATTCATTCATTCATATTATACACACACAATAGTATTTGTGTTACTCTTTAAACTCAATCTCGTTTTATAAAACGTTACATGGTCTTCGCTAAGATCACACGCGTTTAAAATGAAAGTTTGATAAGACTTACACAAACACTTTGACAAACACTTCCCGAATTAGATTCGTTTTGCGGCACATCGTTAGCTGAAAATGAAACTGTGTGTTGCTGTGATAGCTTTCATGAACGGTTCGCCTTGCATCAATATAAATTCAAGAGAGATTTATTATTATTATTATTATTATTAATTTCGCCAGAGAAATAAATTCTAAGACTAAACTCTTAAAAGCACTAGCATCTAAGGCTATCGGCTTTTATTAAAAACTCTACCGCACTTGAGATTCGAACCCACGACCATTGACTTGCTAGTCGATCAAGAGAGATTTAAAGTATGACGGATTGCTTATTTCCATTAGAGGAGTAGATGTGTTTTTTTTTCTTTTTTTTTTTTGTTAGCAATCAAGTAAAAATATTATAGTAAAAGCAATGAAAATATTTCAACTAAATTTAAGCATAACTTAATTCATTTTAATTTCACGCGCTTGAATATTTCATCAAATATTTTAGTCTTTTACTACGATTAATAAGAAAAATAAATAAGAAAATTATATTCGGTTGTGATCGAATTTTTTACACCCATCCCCATTATCGTAAAAGAGTAAAAGAACTACATTTTCATGCTCCACTATATGGAGTGGTCATAGTTGATTTTTTCTATCTTCAAATGAAAGGTTTTTGTCGCATACGCTTATGCGCGCTATGCCATTTGAAAAATTTGAGTCACTTGCAAATTCTTTTGCAAATTTTGTAGGGGATATTATCATTTTCGGTAAGGAGAGAATGTTTATCACATATGCTAAGCGTTCAGACAGGCAGGACATGCCTAGGAGCAATTCAAATTTGTAATTGGCATAGAATTTATGCACTTTATGAAGTTTTTGAAGCTTGGTTCTGCGCGTTATTATGGTATTGCAAACGAAAATTAAATATTGACACTCTATAATATTGGGTAGACATATCCGTTTTTTTTCCGTCTTTGTACGTATACTACACCATCGTCCATAAAATATGCGTTCAATTTTTTGCTCATTTATCTACTATAGTTTATGAGTAATGAGTAATAAGTCAACTTTTTATTACTTTTGAAAAACTTTGACTTTACATAATACTGTAGACGTGTCCTTCGGTCAATTTGGTCTACTGTCAATACCGCAATGCGTTCAAGAACTTTCAATGGCTCTGTCAATTTGAAAATTGGTAGCTTAATTTTTTGCCGACATGTAACAGAATGTAATGTAACAGAAAGATGTCAGTTGCAAATAATTTTTATACGGCATGTACCATACATTATATGTCTGCAGTGCTATAGTTAAGGTGAAGGCGAAAATATTTGCAAGATATTTTAAGAATACATTCACATTTGGGCTTAGGTGGATTTCTAAAAGTTTGTTGTTGTTGTTGTTGTTTTCAAAATGGTAAAAATTCTTCGAA